AAAAAAGAAATCAGTCAAACATCACCCTTTACAATATCCACAAACAACATAAAATATCTTGGGGTAACTCTAACCAAAAAAGTGAAAGACCTGTACAGCAAGAACTTTGATTCTTTAGAAAAAGAAATTAAAAAGGATACCAGAAAATGGAAATATTTCCCATGCTCTTGGATAGGTAGGATCAGCATAGTAAAAATAGCAATCTTGCCAAAAGCAACCTACAGATTCAATGCAATCCCCATCAAAATGCCGGCACAGTTCTTCACAGACCTTGAAAGAACAATACTGAACTTTATATAGAGAAACAAAAGACCCAGGATAACCAAAACAACCCTGTACAATAAAGGAAGGTCCATGGCCATCACCATTTCTGACTTCAAGCTCTATTATAGAGCTATAGTCCTGAAAACAGCTTGGTATTGACACAAAAATAGACAGGTAGACCAATGGAAGCAAATCAAAAACCCTGATATGGGCCCACACACCTATGAACCTGTTTTTAAAATAAGAAGCTAAAAATATTGAATGGAAAAAAGGAAACATCTTCAACAAATGGTGCTGGCATAACTGGATGCTGGCATGTAGAAGATTGCAGAGCTACCCAGGATATAAGGTGAAATGAATAGGCGCTATGCAATAACCTACAAACATATGAAATAAAAATCCTAATAAAGATTGTTGCAAGGCCTTGTTGTCTGGCCAGAGGTTGCAGTCTATCATCGGCAGTCTATCAGGGTCTGGCAGCTTTTTCCAAAAGCTCAGTGACATGGAGACTCCCTCACTCCCCTGCTTCTACCTGCCCTTATCTGGAGACTGTCTCTGGGCTGGGAGGACTGACCTTATCTGAAAGCTGTCAAAGTCAGCTGACTGATCTTTAGCTTGACCCTTGGCACAGATTCCTGTTAGAAGACTTGTGCTAGGAGCTCTGTTATAGGACCCTATTGCCATGTTCGAAGCCTTGTGATAGGACAGTGTCACTGAATGCAACTTAGGGTTTGTCTGCAGGTTCCTCAATCCTATATATTCCCTATATTCTGTAATAATGTTGAGCTGATTCACTGAAGTCTGTCTCCTGAAGGGCTGTCTCCATCTTACCACAGCCATGGGAGCCCTTTCCCCACTTCTGCTCCCTCCACTCTCGTGGACCAATGCAGCCAATAATCCCAAGGAAGAACCAGAGCCACAAAAAGATAATAAACAGATAGGTAGTCTTAAACAATAACAACCCTGGTTACAACTTGATATTTTGTTTTATAGATAATTTAAGATAAATTTATAGATAATATATTTTAAAAGTTATAAGCTTATATTGAGGACATACAATATATAAAGGTAATTTTGTGATATCAACATTAAGTGATATGCAAATAAAGCAGTTATTAACTTATTGAATTTAATCTGATATAAATTCAA